TTATCGCCGCCATTTTGTTTTTCTTTCTCGTTTCCGTTAAATAAAAAAACGATCAATCAATAAGTAGTAATAATAATAATAATTCGTTATGTAGGGGGTAAATTATAACAAACAAATTTTTTCAAAAAATGTGTTAACGATTTACGTAAAATTATTTTAAGGGTTGTTTTATTTAAATTTTCACCCTTAGTAATATGCAAACCCGTTTGTTTTTATAACAAATGTAATATGTTTAACAATCGAAGCAGAAGAAAAAAAAAAGAATTAATTGGTGACGGTGGTGCGATTTAAGTGAAAAAAAGGATTTTTATTATTATTATTAAATAAAATAAAAAAATAAGCCCGTATATATATTTAGTTTGTTCTGCCCTCTTATTATCATTATTATTTTAAATGTATTAATTATTATTATTATTATTATTAATATGTTCGTTGTTAAAAAAAAAAAATTCAAAAAATGAATCACGGCTTTGAACGTTTCTCTTACATATAATAATAATAATAATAATAATGAAGAAGTGAAAAGAGTTGTTGTTGTTGTTAAATTTGTCTGGTGTCACGTCGACTTTTGACACGTTTTTTTTTTTTTTGAAAATTAAATCGATTAAATCAATGGCGAATAATATATATAAATATATTTGAGAGAGCGAAAAAATTTTTAAATATTTTAAATTGATGACGATGATGATGACGACGATGGCGACGATGGCGACGACGACGACAAAATCCGATAAAATTTTTATTTTAAGAAAAATATTTTTGACCGTTGGCGTGGAAAAAAAAAAAAAAAACATTTTAACTTTTGGTAATTTAATTTATTTTTAATTATGGCGACATTTTTTCTCATTTACCCGAAGGTAAATAATAATAATAATAATAATAATAATAATAATAATAATAATAATAGTTATAATTGATTTTTATTGATTTATAATGTTATTAATTAATACTTTTTCCAAACGAAATTTTTAACGATTATTATTATTATTATTATTATTATTATTATTATTATTGTTATTGTTTTTGTTGTTGTCGTTGTTGTTGGCATTGTTGTCGTTAAATTTCATTTTACAAAATTAGCGACAAATTTTTTTTTTTAATTGTATACATATAAGGAGAAAACTAGGAAAAAATTTACGAATTACTCACACGTCATTTTTAACTTGAACAATCAACAGCGTGCCTTATCCGATTCATACAAAAAAAACACGTGGAAGTAGATTAATTAATACTCATTTATAAATCAAAAAACCACCATTCTCGAAATTACAATTAAAAAAAAAAAAACAAAAAAAAATTTAAGGTTTTGTTTTCTTCAGGTTCTCATCGTTCGTATATATATATATTTTTTGACTCGTTTTGTTTGTTCTCGAAAAAAAAAAAATTCGTTTGTTTGTTTGTTTGTTTGAAAAGAAAACCAATTAAGAAAAACCACTTGTTACTACAACCCGAAATCCTTCTATAGAGACGACATTTTTTGATACATTTGTCTAATCTGCGGATTTATTTCTGGCACCACATGTTATTTTTTTTTTTTTTTAACAAAATGGCGGAAGAGTTAAAGAAAAAATTAAATATTCTTATTTATTCACGTGGAAATCGACCAAAAAAATTGATTAATAATAATAAAATGTTATGTTAACGGCGTTAATCCGACCAATTTTTTTTTCCCTCCTTGGGTCGGTTGTTAAAAAATAAACCAACAAACAAGGAAACAAACGGGGAGAAGGAGAAAGAAAAGAAAATGGAGGGAAAAAAAACACGCAATAATATTTTAATTAATAATTTTCCAAAAAAAAATTTTTTTCTATAAAAGAACAAAAAAAAAATTTGTTATTAAATACGACAAAACGACAACGACAACGCGGTAAAACGCCAAATGTTTTTTTTTTGAATAATCGTGGCAGGAGACATTTACGATTAATTTCGTGTATCCAGTTTCAATATTTCAAAAAATTCAATTTTTTTTTTTCTTTTTTAAACGTTACCGTATATCCTTTTTTTTTTTTATTGAGTACAACTTCCGGTTGTTATTTATCGATCGATTTATTTTTCCCTCTTTAAAATCGATAAAAAATAAATAATAATAATAATTATTTCGTTTAAAATAAATAAATATAACGTGGAAAAAAAAAAAAACGGAAAACTTACGTAACTTTTTTTTTAGGCGGTAGGCGAGGTTCGATTTGATTTTGTTTGTCGTTTGTTGTTTGTATGTACGCACTCACGCACACAAAATTGTTGTTGTTGTTGTTATCTATGTGACCTTGAAGTCGAAAACCAAGAAATTATAACGACAACAATTTGAAAAAAAAAATTTTTTTCCTTCCTTTCCTTTCCTTTTTTTCTTCTGCTTTCCCCCCCCCCCCACTATAATTTCTAGAACATTCTCCTCTCTTCTCCTCACACTCCTCACACATAATTTTCCACACAAACGCAAATTAATTTTTAACGGATAAAATCAATCAGTTTTCATTCATAAGGGAAATTTTTTTTTTATTTACTCTATGAAAATTTCGAGATTTTTTTTTTTTTGGAAAAAATCGATTGGCAACAATGACGAA